TAAAACAACATATAAAATTATATATATATTATATATAAGTTCTCTTACTGAAAAAATAAAGATTGAAATTTTTCTTAACGTAGAATTTGTAATCCCTACAACACTGTCAGGCAACTTGTGAAATCTCCCATTTTACAGATGAGAAAATGACAGGTCAGCAGTTGTTTGTGTAAGGAACTAGAGCCACTGAACTACTTGGTTCAGAAACTTCTGTGTACTTTGTACTTGTTTTTATTGACAACCTTTTTCATGGTGCCAGATACTGATGTCAATTTCATGAACTTGTTGGGAGACCCTGTGCTGCAACCAGGAATTCATATCAGTTGAGCTCACATCCTAACCCGTGGCAGTTAATCCTTCAGCCTACACTGTCACTGCTTTTCTGACAAGTTCTGTTTTCCAACTTTGAGATATTGATAATTTGGTTCAAGTATTTTGTTCAGCAAATTGTATTTGGTGCATGGTTCCTATAGGTTAGACACTGCTAGGTTCAGGTGATGCAGAAAGTTGGATGACACTTGGTTTTATCACTGGTGGGGAACACAGGGAGTTGATCAGTTACAGTGCACAGTGGTAAACACAGTGAGAAGAGGCCAGGGAGATCTGGGGAGGTCAGGAGAGCCTGTTGGTAGTGCTGAAAGCTGCTGCTTTTAGCACGCAGCAGGGACTGATAGTCAGGCCATTGTGGTAATGGTTGTGGTTCATCCAGCATTTGGAAGAAATCCTCATGGCCTAACGTGCTTGTGAACAGGTCGGTGTGCATTGATTACCCTCTGCTCTGGACTAACCTGCTTTCTTCTTCTCTGCATCAGGCTATGGAACACCATATGGTTACAGCACAGCAGCCCCTGCCTATGGTATGTACATTATCTCCTGACTTCTCCTGTTAGCCACTTTGTTACAGCAGTCCAAAGCATAGTTTGTGTCTAGGGTTTCTTTAAATGAATTGGAGGATCTCAGACCTATTCATTCTAGTGACCCAACTTAAATTTCCTTCGAAAATGCCACAACCTTGTGGTTCTTGGTTTGGTTGGAGTTGCTCTTCTCTCTGCTTTGCCTGATTGAAGGACTGCTTGTTCTAATTGCCTGTTTCTGACTATACTGAAATTAAATATTTTAATTAGTTCTTCTTACAGCCAACTTATACTCCATTCAAAGGCTACTGAAGGGCCATCCCCAGTTTCTAGTGTGGCCATCTGCCAGTTATATACCTGCATTTCAGTTTCTGGTTTGAAATTTGTGTGAATTGTGGGTTATTTGAGTTGGGGATAGGAAATACTTACTTCAAATTTGTAGTCATCTTTTTTCCATAAATTTTGTTTTAGAGGTGGAGCAAATGGGTCTTAGAAAGGAAGTGATAGAGTATCTTCAGGAGTTTTACTTCAGTACCCATTGCAGAATGTCTGTAGTACATGTTAGAAAATCACAGGAGTATCTCCCTCCAAAAATAAATGCAAAAGCAAAAATGAATCTCAGTGGCCCTTTGGATAACTTTTGAATGAGGTTTATGTGGCAATGGAGGCAGTAGGTTTGGAGTCAGTGATATGCTCTTAGACATTCTTCCTAACTCGGGCTGCATGCTTATAGAATCAACCATCTGCAGGATGTTTGTCATTGAGAGAAGAGAGCAAGTGTGTGTGTGTGTGTGTGTGTGTGTGTGTGTGTGCGAGTGAGTGCGTGTAGAAGGTGTGCATGCTTGTTTGAATGTGAGTGTGCACCTGTGAGTATGTGTATCAGTGCAGCCCTGAGCTGGGCGAAAACCTGGAATGCATTGCTGTTGGTGACACTAGTCCTCGACATGAGCCTCAAGATCTTTCATTATTATACTTTTTTCTCTTCATGCATCAGCTTTTCCATTTTTGTTTGGATGAAAGTTATGGGTTCTTAAAATGCTGCAAAGTTGAAGATTCATTTGATTTCATAACTGTAGAAATAAAATAGTTTGATCATTTTCCCCACTAAGATAGACAATTTATATCCTGGAAGGTGTGTGAAGAAGCTTCAAGGGTCAGTCTTTTGGGCTGAGTTTTCTTTAAGGGAAAGTGGAGTCTGGAGTGTCATCTTTTACCTGAATGCGTCCCCTGGAACCCCCAGGTTTTGTCACCACTTGCCCATATTCTCAGATACGTGGCGATTAGGAACTGGGGAACTGGGGCTCATTCAAGAATATGGACTTTCACCCAGAATTTCTTCTAAGTTCAAGCTCTCTAACTTTTTTCGATTTGGTCTTTTGCTTGTGCACTCCACCAACTTCTGGGTATCCCAACCAGTGCATCCTTCCTATGAATTAGGTCCTGTCAGTTTATCCAAAAAACATTTTGACTTACTAGACCCATTGTAATAGGTTTTGTGTGACCGTCAAAGCATCTGCCTTCGGTGGCAAGTGCTTAAGTCTGTCTTTCTTTAAACATAGTAAGTCACATTCTTTAGTACGATTTGCAAAAGCTTACTTTTAAATACATACATATATTTATATGTGTGTGTGTGTATGTATATATATACATATATACATATATATATATATATATATAAATATACCCTACATATAGGCTTTAAGCTACATTCATGTTTTTCCTCAATCTTTTTAATTTTTCTTTCTTGTTCCTCCCTTTCCTCTAACATACTTTCACCTATGGCCTTTGAGGCCCCACTTCAGAAGGCTCCTCTCTTCCATGTGCCATATAACTGACTTCCAAAGCTGGTGAAAATTGATGCCCCCATTTTTCACATAAAAGATTTGGTTTTTAAATGTTACTGTGATGCCAACCTACTAAAACGATGCTTTATTTTGGCTGTAAGGTAAATATGTCTTTTGGCCTTTGTAAAGCTGTTGCATGTGGGGTAATTTCCCTCTGATCATCTGGTGCTCTTGAATACCTGCTGTTGCTGCTTTGTGATTTCTCCATAGGTTAAATATTAGACTAGAAATAGGATTTCAAATCATGTTTGAGTATGCAGAAGTTTGTGAGGCCACAAGAACTTATTAATTACAAAATTAAGAAAGTAGTTAATCTTTCCAGATTTGCCATGCCAATATTGGCAATAGCCACAATGACAGTTAAGCTCCTGGTCATCCTGGAGCTGAGGCCTGCACAGAAAGCTGTATCTTGACTCTTGACAATCCCTGTTTCTCCTACAGTATCTGATGTACCACATTGAAAACCTACATGGATTTCTAGAGTCACTTTAGAAAACAAATCAGTAGCATTGCTTTTGATCTTTAGAATTCATGGCAGCTCACTCAGATGAAATTGTTTTTGAATAGCATCCTTCCTATGATACAATCATCTTAATTTTGAGTGGAAAATAATTATCAAAATATTAAGAGCAAGATTAAAATAAGAGATTCCTGAGAGACTTGTGGGCCTCTTCCAAAATGATTCATGTTGACTGACTAATCTGGAAAGGGTTAATGATAATTACTGTAAGATATTTTTTACCTGAAATTTTTATTGGATTATTAAACTTATTTGGAGTCCTCTCCGTTTCTTTTCTCTGTAGGTTTACCCAAGAGAATGGTTCTGTTGCCCGTTATGAAATTCCCAACATATCCTGTTCCCCACTACTCATTCTTTTAGCAAATGACAGAAGCTAATTCCTATTGAACAACAATACAGTACAATACAGAATGTTAGAGAAAAAGCCTTTTTATTCTGCTTTCTTTGAACACATACTTGATCAAAATTATTTGTAAAGAACATCTTTCCTACTTTTTGATTTTAACAAATGCAAATTTAGTTCTCTAAAACTTGAAAACAAAAAATAAGAAATTAGTTCTGTGAAACGGTACCTCATTTCCGGAAAATAACTTATACCAGCCCTTCTGTTCTAGGGAAATAAGTCTAGCAGTTCAAAGTTTAAGAGGAGTATCAGATTATGTAAAATTAAATTTGTGAAGGATGTATAGAGTCTCAAACACTGATCACAAATAAATGGCTTTGTTGTAACACAGAGTACTGCCTGGTTCCTGATGCAGTCACTGATCCTTAGCTGATTGATATGTGTTTGCCCCAGGGCACTTTAATTTGGGCTGTAGTTATTTTCATTAATAGAAACTTTTCATTTAAACTTTGTAAATATTAAAGTGTGTAATTAAAGCCAATAAAATATGGGTTTGGATATTGTTTTAGCTTATTATTTTTTATATGTTTTGTTATCAAATTACAAGGGATTGAAAGCTAATAATACCGTGGCCCTAGAAGCCCATTCATTCATAAGCAAACTGCTAAAACAAAGCAAAGGCGTTTGTTAGTTCGAGCCAGTCTACTCTGTAAGCCCTCTGTGCTCCTGTTGTGCAAGGCACGTCCATGATAAAGGTATATTCTGTTATCCCAGCACTGCTTATTAAAATGATGGCACTACCCAGAGATGGGGAAGGAGGAATGTGATTAGTTTCCGAATTTCCAAGTTTTAAAAAAAATAATAAATTAATCGATCAATCACCCTCTCTTGTTCTTGTGGCCTTCTTCACTCTGTAAGATACTGTGTTCACTCCCTGACTTTTTTCATGCAAATAGAAGATTAGCTATTTTTCTGGGATTCATTGAAGGGTCATGTTTCCTCTTCAATTACATCAGAATCTAAAGCAGCAACAGGGTCCCCATAAAAACTTGCTCTTCAATTGTCCCAGTTCTTGTTGAGTGCTGCTGTGAAAAGTGACAGGTTTCAGCCATGGGTCAGCATTTATTTTTAAGATACCTGATTAAGCTGGTGAAAATGATCAGTGAGTAACATTGTGCTGTTCTGTAAAGGGTGCAGACCTAAGTCTTCCACTTGCATTCTCACCTTGTTTGGAAAGCCTATGATGTTACTAGAAGGTAATGGTTTCATTTAAGGTATCCACCCCCATGAAGGCAATCGAGTGTCCCATGCTGATGTTTACAAGTTGCTGTGTCTTAAAATTGGCTGTTTTTAATATGAATTCGTTCTCCTCGTCCCCCTTAAATTTTGTTTTCGGATCAGAACAGTGCCTGTCTGTGAGAACGGGCCTCACAAAATATGCAAATCTTTGTACCAGCTTTCTTTGGGACCACTAAAAGAGAAAAAAATTGGCAGTTGAAAAACAAATGCTAAAAAAAATCTAAAATGCTAGTGTCACACCTCCAATGTATACCTATTACACAATAGACATTACAAAATAGTGTGTTACTTTCTCGTTCATTGACCTTTTTGTCTTTAATAGTGGTGGGTGATACTTTAATAAAACCTCATCACTTGCTAGAAATAGCTGTGAACTTACCATTCTCATCCTGCGCATTAGTGGCTAGACATAATCGAGAGGCCCACCTCTGCTGGGAGTGTTCATGTTTCATTGATTTGTTTTGCTGACCTATGGATGAAACGGAGCCATCACTGAGAAGAAAAAGCATGGCTGGTAGTGTTCAGGTTTTATTAATTAAATATTTACACTAGTGCTCTCTGTTTTTGGAATACTATTAATTGGCAGCTGCAGCTGTATTGTTACTTGAAATTGATCATCAAATTTGCATTCCAAGTTGGAATCTCTCTAGAGATTTCTCTTTAGAAAATTCTTTCGAAGTAGCTGACTCAGCTTTATAATGTAACCCCTCAACAATGGCAAAAAGGGAGCTGTGCTGTTTTCCACCATGATGGCAGTCATTTCAAATGGTTTCTACCAAGTCTTTTTTTTTTTAATTTTGTTGTTTGTTGGAAGTTACTAACCATGTTGTAAACCTGCCCAATTGCTGCAAACTTTTACATTTCTCTGCTTTACTTAAAATAATTGAGCTGTCAGTCCTTTGTTAGAAGTGGTAACCATGCAAGTTCAACTGTTTAAATTTTGTAATGAAATAAGTGTCCCTCCCCCCTTTGCCCTTCCCACCTCTCCATTTTGTAA